TGCCGCATCAGGAGAGATTACGGACGCATAACAAGTGACAAATGAGTTATGTGGCAAAAATGAACGGGGTGTGGGCGCCTATAAAGAATGTATATGCAGTCAGTAGCACGGTTTATGTGTTATGTCACGCTACGCAGAAGCAGCGGGAAACAATACTCCATTTTGTGAACGTAATAGCTTCAAGATGGATTCTCAGAAATCTATACTTGCTTCCTATATTAATGAAGTCGTAAACGTATTTGCCGAGTTAATTGTTCATTATTCGCGGGCCGGGGCTCCTGTTTTCGTGTTATAACATGAGAATAGCTTTTCCCGTGTACTAGGAGTTCGCTATACATAGAATGTAAGCCTGTATTCAGTTTACGGGCAGACCCACTCTCTTTTAAATTATCTGTGGCAGGGAAAAACGGTCTAAGGGGAAGGGGCATATCATATCTTCGAAATATGTTAATGCTATTAAATTTAGGCGTGTTTGTTTAAGGCTCAATTGTTAAGAAATGTGGCACACACATGTTCAGTGACTGAGATAAACAGTTTAACAAGTGTCATCTTACATTTCACCTGATGATGGATGCAGATACTGTTTCCGAAAAGCCGCGTTCCTTCAGAATATTAGACGATATATAACGTCCAGAAACCCAGAGTTCAAAAGAAGTGGAGCTATACCTCCACTCCCCACATTTTTACATGGCATAGTGTCTAATTGCTTAAGCAGAGGGACTTCTTTTTACGTATAAATTATGTGATTTACCTTCGACGAGGATATCAAAAGACGGAAATAACAAAATAAAATTATTCGCATTTTCTGACCAGCAAAACACCAGGGGAAAGTGTTTATGTTCGACTCATTATCGACGCCATATGACAGCTACTTAAAACTGCAGCTAGTCATCAGATAATTCCCGCTGTCGTGGTTTACCTCAACGTTACCGTGAAAATAAATGATTTCACGAGCCGCCACTGACGTTGTGACGTCACCACATGTCAGCCCTCCCCCGTGATCGAGGGGAAAGTGTCGAATTCTTAGTGCATTACAGTTGCACTCGGCTGTTTGAAACCCGACTCACCAGTCTGGGATATTGGTTCTGCAGGATAATACCATTCTTTTAAGGATTTAGGACACTTATTCAAGTGCCTCATCTCTTGTATAGAAGACGTTTTCAATAGACTTACATGTTACCAAATTTCAAAAGAACCCATTCACACGTACAGAGAGGGCATTTTTATTGAAATGCAGTTCTGACGGCTCGCCTTTCCGAGTTACAGCGAAGCAATAATTTTTCAATTTCGTTTTAAAAAGAAACATACACAAGCGAAATGTGAAAGGTCTTTTTGAACAACTGAACACACCCCCTCAGGGCGTTTTTCTTACCGAAATATTCGGCATATTTCGCCGTATGTTCTATTACACGGCACCAACATATCTGATAAATACATTGCCTCCTTCTTCAGGGTATTGTTCCAGTTGCGATAAGTGGATTACTTAACAGCTCTGTCAGTAGCAGAGACTGCATAGCGTGGGACGAATAATAAATAAATATTGAATTGGGAAAGGATTAAGAAGGAAACGTCAGTGACCTAATCTAGGTAAACATATTGTCACGTGTCCGGGGTTCCGTGACCAACAGTAAGGGGTTCTGGATTGGACGATTGGATTTATTGACGCCTTACACAATCAACTCGTACTTACAGGCAACACAGCGTCATCGCTAATTTAAACAATTTACACTTCACCGTTACACACACCCTAGGATTCTCAGTCTTCATTAGTCGTATCCTGGTAACGGAATTAAAACAGTCTCGCTGTGACTAAATCTTCTAATCACAAACTAAATCTTCACAGACTGACTTCTAATTCTGCAACTACTAACTTCCCGTGGCTCTCTTCTGCCGAAATCTGAACCCAATTCTCATTCTCTTACTCTCTGTTGTACTTCTTGTACTTCTTTTACTCTTCTGTACTCCTACAGCTGCTAGCTTCGGAATTCGGCTCTCTTATATTTCTTCGGCACGGACCACGCAACACAGAAAACACAGCCCCGTTATTGCGTAGAGGCGTGTTACCATGCAGTTGCCTAGGAAACAGTCTTGGTGCGGACCATATAGAAAACACCTTTCATTTTTGTCGCGTAATGTTATAGGCGCGTGTTTATTGGTCCGATACTCAACATTGGATGTCCTTTGTTGTCATGTATTATTGTACGCATTACTCAGCAACGGATGTTTACCAAGAGTCTGTCTCCGCGAGAACGTATTTGTCGAGCCGTTTCCTAGCAGCGATAGGGGGATATACATACAGACTCAGAACAATAGAAGGGATTTATGAAGTACACCGTTGAGATGAGCTTAGGTGATATGCTATACATACCAAGTTTTATAAAGATTGGTTCAGATATTCGAAAGTGGATATGAGGGATACACATACAGACAAATAGACACAATTGTGATAGCATAAGCCTAGTTTTATTTTTCAAAATAAGGGGAGTAAGAAAACCGAAACATGTCGTGGTTTTATTGAAATGAATAACTACTAATTGTTACTGTATTGCTCAGTCCAGTAGCAGCACGCACTCATGACCGTGTGCGGGGTGCCTTGCCCTGTGACCGCATATGTAGGCAACATGGCGGCTAGGAAGAATTACATCTTCGCCATTTTGAGGCACGCCGCAGGAATGTCACAAGCGCCGCTTATTGAGAAATTCCTGAAGCTGTAGCATTGCGGTAATAAAAGTGGGAGAGGCGCCCGCTTTAACAGTATCATGGCGACTGGGGTCCCGCGCTATGTAGCCAATTAGGGCGCCACGACGCTGAAGTGCGTTACGTTTTTTTTTTGGGGGGGGGAGATTCCCGGAGAAGTACCAAGATGAGACAAAGAAAGTTCCTGCATATATAGTGCAGTCATTCATAACTCCTCTTCTACATTGTAGAAGGATAAATTTCTCCGAAACGTCGATCATGATCAGACTACACGGCGTCAGATCCCAGATAGCAGTAATTCTCATCGCCATGAATGCTTTAAGAGTCGTGGTAGCGTAGTCGGTATGGGCTGGACGACCAAGGGGTCGGAGTTCGAGTCCAGGTGAGGGCAAGAATTTTCACTTCACTATGTCGTCCAGACGGGCTCTGGGGACCACCCAGCCCAATATCCAATGGGTATCGGGTTGATTTTTTTCCTGGGGTATATTGGTAGGGGCGTGAAGCTGACAACTCACATCAAACTAGTGCCGATATCAAGAAAATGTGGATCTATACATCCACTCCCCCATACGCCTTCGTGGCGTAGTGCTTAATTAGTTAAGCACAGGGACAGCTTAGCTTTTCATAATCCTCCTTTAGATGTTAACAGACGATTAGTTAAGTCAAGGAATTCCAGATCTTTCACAAAAATCTGAAAGTTACTCTATTCATAAATGTCCCCCAACTGGCTCTTATCAGAAGCCAGATACATCCAATCCATGTCTTCACATTACAGTACCGTTTCAATCTACACGTTGTTTTCTTCGTTCCAAAGTCCTCTGACTCATAAATATCTGTGTGCGCTTCTCCTCTCTCCCATGCGAGCTACACGCCTCGCCCATTCCCTAATTCTCGATGGGGATCACAATTTACAGGACCGAGCAGATTATTAAGGTGGTATGGGGCTAAATTTTTATTCGGGAGGCGCTGCGTTCGAATCTCGGACGGGACACTGTCCTGACGGTGAGTTTCTCTGTGGTTTTCCTCAGTCCCTTCAGACAAATTCCGAGATAGTGCCTCAATTATGCCACAACTGAATCCTTCCGAATCCCTTCCAATTTACTGGCATGCTGGTAAGCTTCACAGCATATTCATGAAGCAGCAGAACTGCACCGCGCTTGCCGGAGCGAAGGGACAAAGGGACAGCCTGCCTCACCGCATGTCCCTCTCTCGCGTCACTTCGTTTCAGACTCCTGATCAATGAAGTGGAACTGAAGACGGATCCTCCTCCAGTCTCGTCGACTTGTCCCTGCTGATCACAATTTCACCATTGCTCCGTACTCAACTACCGATATCCCCCCACTCCTGCCCTCGAGATGTGCGCTCTTATAGTTTCTGGCAGCCACAATGCGAAAATGGACCCTGGCGGCTGTCCCGGCACTGCTCCAGCGCGTGGGGGTCCATCTGAGGGCCCTCCATTTCCTATCAGTTCTGTAACTGTCGTCTTGTTTTCTTTCCAGGCGCGAAGCGGGCGAGGATCTCTGTAGACGATCTGGAAACAGGAGCAGAAGACGAGGACGAAGAAGACGACGAAGAGGAGGAAATAAGCGGCAGGGGGTCACCATCCGCGCCCTCCACTGCTGTGCCCGACATGAAACACCAGCCTCAACCCTCACGCCGGAGTTCCTCACTGTCGCCTCCACCGCCCGCGCTGCCCCTGTCAGTATCAACAACACCGTCCCCCGAGCCATCATCAGCACCGCCTCCCGGACAAGACCACCCTGACGTCGACAGCAACGGCAACAACGCCGAGGCGGAGAGCGAGGCCGCGCTGCCTGAGAACTTGTCTCTTCCGAAGAAGTGTCCAGGCATCCCGGGTAGCCCCCGGCACCAGCCACCAGCAGCTCAGCCACCTCCGTATCTCCTGTACCACCAGCAGTACCAACAGTTCCAGCACCAACAACAGCAACAACAACACTTCCAGCAGCAACAGTACCAGCAACAACAACACCGCTCTCCAGTCGACATTCTGCTCAGGGTTTTCCCCGGGAGACGACGAGGTGATGTAGAGGCTCTCCTGCAGCGATGTAAAGGCGACATTCTGCATGCTATAGAGCTTCTGGTGTGTTCCAATGGTGGCAGTGGTGGGGTCCCTAACCCACAGCATGAAGACGCCTCTCTCAACTCACCGCCCCTCATACCCAAATCGGCGTTCTCACCGCTTGGACCCCTCGGACCACCACCTCATCAGTTCCATCACCGGTACAGCCCTCAGTCACACCGCCGGTTCCTGGCGGCACCGTATGCCGGTACGGGATACCTCCCTACCGTCATCAGACCGCCACCCGAGTATGCTATCCCGCTGGTCGGACACCCTCACGACCTCTACAGTAGTTCTGGGAGCGGATGCACAGACAAAGCCACTGCTTCGTCTCCCGGTTCAGGGACCGGCTCTGACAAGACATCGTACTCCGAGTGACCGATAGGGGTTCTTCGGCCCTCGCCAGAGTACGGGCGCTTTAGTTTCCATAGAAACAGTGCTTCCATCGCGAAATCCTCTGGTCGGACTTCCAGTGACATCGATACCCATGGGCATTGCATGTCTTAATGGAAGTTAGGAGCTTGTCTGCGCTTGCGCAGTGCAGGCAAATTTATTGAGATCGACAGGAATGCACTTGCCGAAACGGGACAAAACAACCAGCTTTGACTTCACGTCTTCGGAATCGCAAAGTTTCACATTCCCGAAAGAACTATGACTGACGTGCAGGTTCTGGGTAGGCCTGTGAAGAAATCTGACATATAAATGAGCCTTCTGATATGTCAGCTTTCGTTGTATTATCTCTGTAAGACATATCTGTACCCTGCGAACCTATTTACAGTAGGAACCAGTAGGCCTAAAATTGTTTCTTGTATAATCAGTTTCACTGAAACTAGGCCTATGTACTTAGAAATCACGTAAGGAACTATTTTTAGCACGTGAAGTCAAAACTAAAAACCCATTCTACTGACACGTTCTTTGTGACCACACATTCTGGTCTTAAGGATAGCGACGTTTCGAAAGAAAACTATGCCTCGGTCTTCAAGGTTGAACATCAAAAAATTCTGAAGATAGAGACAATTTGTTTCTCCGAAACGTCTGTATCATATAGAAGGCGCGTGGTGTCACAACTCACAAGACTGCGTCCGAACAATCATGGCCTTCAAAATTTACAAATCACTCAAAAGTTCATTATCTTGAAATTCGATGCGTGTAACCTAAGTACATGAAATTCAGAAAGGGCTGTTGCATGAAACCTGAGCTACATTTGCAAGTGGGAGATACTTCCAAAACGACTATATGTATTGGAAATATATTTGCACGGTAATCAGGCTGAATTAACTTCAAAATGCGAAATCCAAATAATGTACAACCAAAAATTTGTACTTTTTCTGTTATAGCAGAAATGCGCCTGGAACACTTGCAAAAAGCATTACATTTATGAATTGTTTGTGTGAAAACATGAACTCTTCCTCTGAAATCATACAATCCCACCGGAATTTTGAATCACCAAAATATAAGGAAAATTTCAAGAGATCTTAATTTCCTGAAATTACCAAGCCTCAGACTTGTAAATTAAAAGCACGATGAAATCTAAACATGAAATCTTTCAAGTAAAACAAATTTTCTAATATTTCTGAATATTTTTACCCATACATGACAGCTAGAAATACTCTTTTCAATGTAAGAAACGATCAATAACAAATTCTAAGATAACATTCATGCACATAAAGTTAAGGTATCCCTGTAACAGGCCTCGGAGGCACATAGGGTTGTGAGACGTCGAGGCTTCCACATTTTCTATAGACAATCTGCTCATAGATGGCGGGTAAGGTTGTCAGCCTTATGCGCCGGCCGCCCTTTACCCCCAGGAAGATTCCTGATACCCATATCTGCAAGAAAATTCCAGTGACCTCAACGGAAACCGAACCCGCGATCTCCAGGCTTATAGCATAGTGCCTCAACCAACTACGCTACTGCGAGTAGGCAAGCTTACGAAGGAGAATTTCCGGTAAGGCGATTTGGTCTCCAGTTGCATCTCAAACATAGAACCAAGTGTCTCTACAACGACGACGTAACCGCAAGTGTTCTAAACACAATCTACCTAGAATTGCAGCATTAAAAACTAGATGACACTTCTAGGGAAGGAAATATCTTAACGCGAAGCAGTGTGTCGCACAAAGATCATCTCTTGTAACAATTCAAATAAATTAATATTTGAAGAGAGACCGGAACATAGAATTAGACTTCCGTTTCCCAGCATTGTTCATGGTCCAGTTATAGACACTCAGGGCCAGTACAGAAATGTCTGCATCTGCCCAAAAATAGTCATGATTCAGTTCTTTTCCTTGTTGAAAGAATCTTCAATGTTGAAGTTAGTGTCCAATTGTATTATAAATAATGTTATATACATACTGACATGATAATTAATTAACGCAAAGTGTAAGTAGTCACCCAAAAACTGGTTGTTACTATTTAAACTCAGTTGTGTGTGTGTGAAGTGGTAGCTAACGGGCGCCAATTAAAAAAGTGACAGTGACTCTTATTCATAATTATACGGAGAATACATCGAACTGGATTTATGAACTTTACAGAGACATTCTAACACTTAGAATAACGTGAAGGAAAATAAGCAATAAAAAACAATTTTCAGTAAGTCTAAAATAAGTATTTGTTGAACATTATGATATTAAAAATATTAAAAATCTTCTTGAATGTTATGTGTAGTCTAGTAGAAGTTTCCCTTCGTTTCGGAGTAACACACTGGTTCTATCTTCAGGGTTGAAAATTAAACCAAGAAAATATTGTCAAGAATCAAGCATCAAATACTAGTCTGCTTGGTCTGTGCTCCTTGCTGGTTGCTTCTCTTACTCTTCGACCCTGAAGATTGAAGTAGTATTTTCTTCCGAAACGAAGGAAACTTCTATTAGACTACACGTCGTAATATCGCAGAAGACGAGACTCACAGCCGAGAGAACCTCAAAGATAACAATAAGATAATAATTTACGTTATAAACACATTGTTGTCAGAGATAATCAAACACAAGTGTTACCAACACTAAATAATAGAGTGAATGTTACTCAGCTGAGACACGTACTTGGAAACATCCCGAAGTAAAGAGAAGATGTTGAGTTAGCTATGTAACGGGAACTTGAAGTTGAAACATATTAACAAATCCTTGCATTTTCTTCATTGAAACAAAGGAAAGAAAAGTGAATTTTGTTGGCAGCACTGCGGAAAAGAAATACTTTTTTTTTTGTAATAATTCAGGCGCATTCAATCTCAAGGCACGGAGATTATATGAAGACAGTGTATAAACATCTTCACCACGTATGTTATAAACATGACAACAACACAAAAATATGTTGTACAATATTTTATGTTAGTAGATATACATGTATTTGTTGCATTAAAGAAATATGCCCATGTAGTTTGTTTGTATGAAAGTTTAAAACAAATGTCCAACTGTAAATAATATTAGTTAATGTGTTATAGGACTTGTATAAGCAAGAAGTTCCTTCGAGAAGGTTCATTGTTTGCTCATAATATGTTCTTCTGTTGGAATTCCACGGACATCGACCGGAAGTCCGGTGACAACTTGAATCAAATTAACCCTCTAAAGAACGGTGATAAATGTAGGTCCCACACTCTTTATCATTAGGAATAACATGAATTTTCTCTGTAGATTTCATTTATGGGTTTCCTATTCGGTAATATATAGCGAGTGATTGTTTCCTTAAACATAATTTTGCCTGTAACGGAGACGCAATGTGTTTCCTTTGAGGTACGAGCTGAATAGTTAAATCGAATACTGTATACTCCGCACGGGCTTCATTTCTGCAGACGTAGTCGCAAGTGCATGTTTCGTTCATAAAATGACAATCACAGGGTGGGTGTAAAGCAGAAAACTAAGTAAAGTTTTTCTTATGCTTAAATAATTAATTAAGTACTATGTCACGAAGATATAGGAGGGAGTGGAGTTATAACTCCACCATTCTTGATATTGGCTCTAGATGGAGGTAAGTGGTCAGCTTCACCCTCCGGCCGCTTTATCCCTTGTGAAATCGCCCCCAGTACCAACTGGGTCCTAGAGCCGGTATGGACGCCGTGGAGAAGAGAAAAATCTTGTCCCTGCCAGGAAATGAACCCCGGCCGTCCAGCTTGTATCCTGTCACTATATCAACTGTGTTATCCTGATTTCAGATTGGTGTGCATATACAGTTTTATATAACCGTTAAAATGTAATGGGGCTGAATCCTGTAAGCGTTATTATAACTAATAACTGTTGGAAAATTTGGCTTCTTACGAGGTTTGTAATTTTTAGCTAATGTTATGTGTGCACCAACCTAATTATGGTCACTTAATGACGGAAATATTCACTGATGATTGCGTCTGGAGATGCAACACTTAGGAGACAGTACAAGTTCCTTATTTGTAAGTATAGGGCATTTAATTTTTCAATATTATTCAGAATGATTTCAGGCTTCAGAGGTTTAACAGCCTGCACTGCAGGAGTCACTGTATCTCTTACGGAGAGCCAAAATCTTTCACGAAGACACGGAACCCGGAATATTGTTTTGTATTGTTCCATGTCTTTTGTTTCAATGCAGCGAAACCAGTCACGTCGTTCAACAGATGTATTTAGAGTCATTATTTATTTATATGGAAATAAAGCTATGATTCTCTACGAGGTCCGTGTTTGCCGGCTAATATTTAAAGAAGTAAAGATATTGATTTTTGAGAATGATATGTTTGCAGGCTAATATACTATTTCCCCCCCCCCCCGAAAAGATGTTAAGTAACCAAACAATATATCTTCGTTTTTAGCGATGTCCAAGCAGAAACTGCTATTTATGCCAGAAAGTTGGCAGTTGAATCATTTCAAATTACAATGGAACACACAGGCGTGTATGTGGCCATGCGATGTGGAGAAAATGCGACAGTTATCCATGTACAGTGGAACGGAATAAAATGATTTTAAAATATAAACTGGCTTGAATTTACCTGACTCAGAATCTGAAGTTCCGGTCTCAGAACCGTGGATCTAGGGGTGCATTGCAACCCTTAGAAACACTCCAGACATGACAAAAAGCGCTTTGAAATAAAGTTTATACGTAACATACATTCTGATATAGTGGATGGGTCGTCAATCTGCAAAATAAAATATAATTACTATCAGGATTTTAGGTCCTCACGCCGGTGGTTATGAAGAATTCTAGTTTGTGGGATATAACGCCGTGTAGTCCGCTGAGACTTAGCTGACGTTTCGAAGGAAAATGTCACATTCATCTTCAGGGTCGAAGGACCTGCTTCACGCTGGTTGTTTGATTGGTTTATTCTTCAGTCCTCAAGATGGAGGCAACATGTTCTTTCGAAACATCGATTGACTTTCAACGGGCTACACGTCGTTATAAAACGTAAGATAATAATAATAATAATAATAATAATAATAATAATAATAATAA